GCCCGCCCTGCAGCCCGCGGGGACCGCGGCGTGTCCTCCTCTGCCCTCCTGCCCGGGCGCGCGGCGCCTCCTCCCTGGGCGACCGCGGCGCCCACCGCCGACCCGGAGGCGCCCAGCTCTCTGCGGCGGTGTAGTTGGACGGCCGGCGGTGGGAGGCTCCCTCCCGAGGCCTGCAGGCTCTGTGCCTTTGCACAGACGCCAAGGGGTGCTGGTTTCCACCCGGGTGCCACGTGTCAGCAGCCTTCTCTTGAGCTCCGGAGTGCTTATTTGGGGGCCCCTCATTCAGCACCCCTGGGAAGCCCTGGAGACTTTGCAAAACACTGTGCCTGCCTTTAAGGCATCCCTTGTCTCTTTGCCATTTCTGCAAGGAGGGTAGAATTTTGCTGGTTTTAGAAGGTTTTTAAAAAGTGGTGTATGGTAGATAAAATGTACACCAACAGAGCACATTCAGGCAGACTGAGACATTTGGTGGGGCGGAAGAGTGAAATAATTTGACTTGGTAGAACCAGAGATAAATGTTATCTGGCCCAGGGTTCAGTAACAACCGATGTTGAGCCAGGCACATTGAGCATACCTATAATCCCCGCAAGGGGAAGTTGAGGCAAGGTGATCCCCATGAGTTGCAGGCCAGCCTGGGCTGCTCAGGGAGGATGCTGGGCGAGGGGGCCACCCCCACATCATCTATGTGTTTGTTCTTCTGTTTCCCTTCCTATTACCGGCCATTTGGGTTCCTGTGTACCTCTTTGCCATGGAACAAATTAAAGCAAGCTATTTGGGGTACAAAGGAAAAAGGATTTATTAAAAGCCATCTCTTAGGAGATGGAAGAACCCGTTTTCAGAACCCAAACATCTCCCTCCATAGCCTAAGGGAATGAAATTGGGCTTGACCTCCAGATGGGAGGATCCGCCTGTTTTATCCTTTTCTCTGAGTAAAGGAGAGGCGGGGTAGCCATTTATGCCCAAGCCCTGGGGAAGTTTGGAAGGCATTTAACTACCAAGGGAAAAAAAGCTAGCTGGTAGAGAACCTTTTTGACTCTGTCCAGTCGGTGCACACCTGTGATCACAGCACTTGGGAGGCTGAAACAGGACTGTCACAAGATCCAGGCCAGCCTGGGTTACTAGAGAGTTTAAGGCCAGCCTGAATCACAGAACAAGGTCTTATCTCAAATATAAATAAATAAATACTCCATTTTGCAGTGTCAACCACATTCCCTTGATTTTTTATTTCTATTTATTTTTATGCATTTGGTACAGGGTCTCACTATGTAGCTCGGACTCGTAGTGTTCCTCCAGTTTTCAGCCTCTCCAGCGCTGGGATTATAGGCGTGCACCACCTCGCCAGGAGTTGGTTGCTGGCTCAGCATGCCCCAGGGGCAGGTCTGGCGTGGTATGTGGGACCGGAGATTGAACCCTGGTCCCTGTGCTTGCCAAAGCAGGCACTTAGTCCACTGAACAATCTCATCAGCCCTTCCCTTTATTACTGACAACTATGTTAGATAGAAATATTGTAACAGTCAGACAGAGCTAGGTCCTAGAAGAACTCAATACAAAAGATGAGAACACATTATGATTGTGGTTCTCTTTAAGGCCAGGCATCAAGAGAAAAGACGGAATGACCAGACCTGCATGCCTCCCCAGGGCATAAGCAATAATGCTGTACTTGGTATTACCTTTTCCAATAAAGTCTAAATAAACATTAGTTACCCAGGTGGATGACCTCCAGGACCTCCTGATTCATCTCTTCCAATAAAGGTTCCTAATCTTTTTTTTTTTTTTAATTCACTTTGTAACCTTGATGGGGCTTGAACTTGCAGTGATCCTCCTGCCTCAGCCTCTCTAGTGGTGGTATTATAGGGGCGTGCCACCACGTCTGGTTGGTCCCTGTTCTTTGCCTGTGCACTTGCTACATGACCCACTTCCCATTAGATCAATACTGCATAAACATCTAAACTTGTGGCCTTATTGATTGATCTCAGTTTTGACCCACCTTGTACCCACCTTGTGGATTTGTAACCCCCTTGTGATTTTGCTTCATAAAACTTCAATGAGGCCAGTGAGATAGCTCAACCATCTGAAGTGCCTGC